AAAAAGCCCGTGCGTCTGCTTTCCCGCACAACACTCGGAGAGCCAATCACTGCAACTTACGGAGGCAGCTCAGCGAATGACGATGCCGAAACATATATGTTTAGACCAAAAAACGCAGTCTGAGTTGTGACATTAAGCAATGCAAGCGTGACGTTTTTCATTGCTTAATGTCACAACTCAGACTGCGTGTTTTGGTCTAAACATATGTTTCGGCATCGTCATTCGCTGAGCTGCCTCCGTAAGTTACGGTGATTGGCTCTCCGAGTATTGTGCGTGAAAGTAGACGCACACATTTTTTTAGAGTGCAGGAAACAATAACAGAAAAAGATTTACAGTTTCTTATTTCCATTTGATGCACTGAGTTCTGCTTCAGTTGATTTTTATGTTTTAGGTTTTGACACAATTAATAACACATTTGGCATAAAAAAGTATATCACTGGGAGTAAAAAATATTTGAGCTGAAATGCTAAGCCTGCAATACAATTAGAAGGTGTATGAACAGCACAGGATATTAAATGTGTTAACACAACCTCGATTCGTAATGTGCGCGTTAATAAATTCCCTCTACCCCCCCCCCCCCCCCCCCCCCGCCTCCCGCCCTCACTGCCCCCGCTGTCCCGCATTTCGCTTGCAGGAAGGTGGTCACCCTAGGCCCCGTCCTTCCCTAGCGTTACGTCACTTGCAAGGCACGTATAGTGTCAAACCTCGGGAGGCTCGAAAAGCTACGTCAAACAACTTGCGAAGGTAAAAAAGAAAAGGAAAAAATGTTGCAGCATGATTATATTTATTTAAGGGAGTACGAATTTCTTTTTATCTACGGAGCTAATTTGTTTTTTTGTTTTATACGTATTACAGAGTGCAATCACATACATCAAAAGGCGCGCTTGTAGCGCTAGCCGCAACATGTCCAGATGAATATTTCGCATTAAATTATTAAATAAGCATCACAAATTTTCTATCTACATCCCCAGAGCAGCTGTTCACCGTTCTACCACAATACACAAAAATTAGTAAGTATAAGTTGCAGTAACTCGGTATAAGTTGCAGTAACTCGACGTAACAAGACTTTTCTTGAACTGTTCTGCCTCGCGCCATCGCTATCGATGACTTACCGTCTATACTGGAAAAGTAGCGACAACCTTTGATCATGCCGCCGTGCTCAGCGGTAGGCCGGTGTGTGACGTGACCTTTCATAGCGCTCCGCCTCTTTGGCAGCATGAAGGATCAGCCAGCATTTTCCGCGTCTCGTGTGTCTCGTCGCCAGCTGCGCGCAAGCTACGCCGGACTCGCGTTGCGTCGGACAGATCCGGACTTGCGTTGACGTTTGTGCAGTAGTGTGTCGTTGGTCGTGTAGCTTTTCGTTTCACTTGTAGCTGGATGATCCGTTCGCGTTTTGCCGCGGATTGCGTTGTCGAACGGCGATATGCCTGGTTGCTGCTATGCCGTGAACTGCAGCACGCGAACAGGTCATGGCACGTGACCATGGAAGGGAGTGAGTGTGAATCGCACCGGCGAGTTCTTGATATGCGGTTTTCGGGTGGAAAGAATATGAATTTCGAGTCACCAATTGTGTCTGAGTAGTGGAGCTTATGTCATGTACAAATAAAAACCTTGGCGAGCATAAGTACCACTGTCAGTCTCCTCTAAACCTCTTGTAAACATTCAGTGTTGTATATGTATATATTAGTGTTTTATACATAAATTTTAGATGAGGCTTTTTTCTAATAATACTTTTGTGTACCGTCTTTGTTGTTAAAACTGGCTAGTGTGAGACCTTTTTATAATTTTATGTTTTGCCTGTTAATTTGTGTAGTGACTCCTTTTAATAATTGTTTATCTATTGTCTCTGTTGTAAAAATTATATCTGAGCATGTGTATAAGCGCTTCCTTTCACTGCTGTCTTGGCTATGGCAGTCTGTGGTAATTTGAAAATAAATATATGCCACATATTTTAATCTCGAGTCAGTGCCGTTTCTCCGCAATTTTTTTCCCCCATTCTGATAATGACCAAAACCAAAGTTGGATATTTTTACCTTTAGTAATATAAAGGAGGCAAAACTTCCCAACTGTGATGCTATGTAATACATCGTATGATAATATGTCACGATCTTTTTTTTTTTTTTTTTTTTTACATAGCTTGTGCAGCTTACTTTAATTTCTGGCAAATAACTGTACATTCATTAAACCTAAAAAGTGCTTGAAGTTACGGTACAACCGAAGGAACACTAGTTTCCATCGGTATTGCAGTAGTATGGTCAGCCGACACCACCGATTCGTAAGTACAGAAGGGCTTTACAGATCGGAATACAGTAGCACTGCATCAACGTCAACCGTACCCCCTCCCCCCAACCCCTCAAATATAAAGGTAAACGAATTTGAAGAGCGACGAGTGACAAACTAGCCCTGCTATACATCCAGTCGCCGAATTTCGGAAGGCCTCGGTCGAAACCAGATCGACAGTAATGATCGCAATAGTCCGGCGTCCTCGATAGCTCATGCATGTTTATCGACGGTATGATTGCTATAGCGTTTCAACGTCTTTTTAGCGCGGAGGGCAGCAGCAATCGCAATTCGCGCTTGTAGTCGTTAAGCTCGTGGAAGACTGCAGGATCTAGAAATTCTCGGATTATGTGGGGCCGAATATTATGAAGGTTTTTTTACGTATTTAATCACTGATAATGACGGTGTACCACACTCGTGAGAACCATATCGTTGCATTTTTACTCGTGGAAATAAAGCTGTGTTCTATTTTCCATGTACTCAGTTCTGTGAGCTTTATCCGAAGGTTGAAACGCTGCCGTCACGTTTAACTCATTCTTTCTTGGTGTTTAACACTTGCTTGTCGCTATGCAATGTGGAATGTATCAGAAACCTGCACTTTCAAATACGCAACGCGAAAGATTGTGCTCTCTGAATGCGCGGAGAGGACACGGCCGTCGTCTGCTAGTTCTCCTTCTTGGTACCTCCCTAGGCGGCGCGCGCGTCGCCAAAAGGAGAGAAAGAGAGAAACGTAAAGGGTGAGGAGGAGAGATGGCGCTACCTTTCCAGTACAATTAGAAGGTGTATGAACAGCACAGGATATTAAATGTGTTAACAGAACCTCGATTCGTAATGTGCGCGTTAATAAATTCCCTCTACCCCCCCCCCCCCCCCCCCGCCTCCCGCCCTCACTGCCCCCGCTGTCCCGCATTTCGCTTGCAGGAAGGTGGTCACCCTAGGCCCCGTCCTTCCCTAGCGTGACGTCACTTGCAAGGCACGTATAGTGTCAAACCTCGGGAGGCTCGAAAAGCTACGTCAAACAACTTGCGAAGGTAAAAAGAAAAGGAAAAAATGTTGCAGCATGATTATATTTATTTAAGGGAGTACGAATTTCTTTTTATCTACGGAGCTAATTTGTTTTTTTGTTTTATACGTATTACAGAGTGCAATCACATCAAAAGGCGCGCTTGTAGCGCTAGCCGCAACATGTCCAGATGAATATTTCGCATTAAATTATTAAATAAGCATCACAAATTTTCTATCTACATCCCCAGAGCAGCTGTTCACCGTTCTACCACAATACACAAAAATTAGTAAGTATAAGTTGCAGTAACTCGACGTAACAAGACTTTTTCTTGAACTGTTCTGCCTCGCGCCATGCTATCGATGACTGGGTTGGGAGCGCCTCCCCGCGGAAAGACGCCGCCTCCTTCTCCTTTTCCGATTACGCCCTCTCCGCACGAATGGGACGGCCGAAGAAGCGTCCGCGCCAACGGTCCGCGCGCGGCGCGCGCGGCGCGCTTCGGGATCTCGGAGGCCATGGTACCACGTACCAGACTCTATCGCCCGCCACCGGAGGGCGCCACGATACGTTCAAAGCGTCTGGTCGCAGCTCGGCTCCGTGCCTGCGGTCTGCTTTGTCTGCTCGCTTCCGCGGCTGGCTTTTGATACGATCAGCGCACTAACAGAAGTTTCGATGCGAACCCGGATTGTCATCACGAGGGAGGGAAACCAACACCTTCTGGAAGCAGTGCTTGTACGGCTTTCTCAACCCGCGGTGCCATCCTCAGCGTTCGTGCGTACGCTCGCTTTCCAAAGCCGCACTATGACGACTCGCTCTAGACGACGTTCTCGGCGCGGTGTCGAGAGCGTCCGCTACACGCCGACTTCCCAATGGTCAGGCCAGAGCCGGGCCAGACAAGTGTTGGGCTCGAAATCTCGCCTGTTCGACACCGATTCATTGGGCGCCGCCATGAAATTATGAGGCAAACCGCGTTGCCATGGCAATGCCGTGGCAACGCGGATGTTGGCCCAAAAATTTTCATGACGGCGTCCGTTAATTGGGTTTATTAATTATAATAAAAATTACTCGAAACTGCAATAAAAATAAAACACTTTCTAAAAAAAAAGAAGAAATGACACAGAAAATAATAGCGTCGGAGCCGTCGGAGCGAGGCACGTCACACACGTGCCTCGCTCCAACTGTCGTCTGCTGCGAAACCAAGCAACTTCGGTCCAGCGCTGCGCGAGCAGGCGCGAGCTCTTTAGGAACAGTTCATGAGATAAGCATACGTCCAAACTACCCGTGAGTCTGTGGTGGGTGCTAATGCCAGGGCAATGTTTTGAGCGGTGATCGTGAACGACCGCGGCGCTACAAGGTGATAGAAAAAAAAAAAAAAGTTTGTAGCGGATACGGATGTGGCGTCACTTCTTTTGGTTTAAACATAATTGAAACTGATTAATCTGGCAATGCTTATTCCTTATTTTGTATATATTATTGATAGAGATAGAATCACGCGCAAAAGAAAAAGAACTATGGAACTACAATTGTCGCGGACGGCGCTGTTGCTGTGGCGGTAGCGAGGCTTCCGTGGCATGTTGATAGCACGTGACTTGCTCCGACGCTCCTATTGGGTCGCGGGTTCCGCTGGCTCCACAGTTCGCCACTTTTTGTTTGTTTTGTTTTTATGGCCAAGGGCCGCTCTTCCTCCTCGGCTTCCTCTTTCCCAGCATTCCTGGCGTAGCCTCTCGTCGACATTTTTTTTACTCTGTCGATATTTGTGTCGTCTTTTCCTTCTTTGTATTTTGCTGTTCCTACTTCTATTTGTTGTTTCTCTGGCAGCAGCAGTCGCCAGCGGCACCTCTCTTCTTTTGGTCCGTTTTGGTGCCGCCGCGGCGGCTTCGCTCCTTCTGCCTGCCGTAGCTGTTGTGGCGAACCCAGTGTGGGAAGTGGCCCGATTTTTTCGGGCTCCTCGCAGTCGTTCTGTTTATTTCAGAAGTTGTGCCGCCGCGAGGGAAGATCGGCCGAAGGAAGAAACAAGAAAAGTAAGCCGACCAACCAACGTCCCGAAGCAACGAACGCCGTCGGCGTATTACACCTTTTTCTTTTTCCCTGCCCGTCGCTGACTTGCTCGCGCCCGTGTTCCCATCAAGAACGGATCCCCGACCATTGGTTTCTTTGCGGCGAAAAGCTACGGCGATCGTGCAGTGCTGGTGTTGTCAGGCCGCGTCCAAAACGTGCCCCGCAGAATTCGTCGCCACGGAACGCAGGAAACCCAAAATGACTCGGGATCGTCCATCGCCTGTCTGGATTCCGACGAATGGCTGAAGCGATCGTTCACGACCAAGTTCGGGGCAGAATGTGACACCAGTTGTGACCGCGTAATGTTGTGACTACTTTTTTTCGTTTTTTTTTTTTCTTCCGCTGGCGCCTTGTGAAGTGAGATGAGTGTGCCACTCAAGCCTACGGAGTGTCGAAAGTTCGCGCCTAACATCTTCAACAAGAGCAAGTGTCAAAACTGCTTTCGTACCAAGGATGCCCATTCGGCCGAAGCACTCGAAAGCAATCGGGTGAGTCCCACCAAACATTCCCGTGTTTTCTCCACCGTTGCTACCATGGTAGCTGAAAATATTTCGCGAGCGCCCGCGGGGCGTTTTGTTTTTGCCGTGTTCCTTTTTTTTTTTCTTTTGCTATTTTCTTACGCGCAGCTGCCGCATCATCTCTTATCCTCTTCGCTGTCTAATGTTTGGGTCCGACAAAAAGTGACCAAGAGTTTCCCAAGCCGCGACATTAGAAAGAACAAAACAAAAAAAATTTCGTTTCCTGAAATGCACGACCAACAGGTGAATTCCGTTAGGCCTAGCACGAGATCGAGGCGACTTCACTCGTACGAATCCGACGGAAGTTCTACCGACGCGCTGCGCTGCCTGATGCCAGTCATTCTTGTGATGCTCTAACCCCGCTTTTGCTACCACTCATGGCGATAATCTACAGTGGACATAAACTCCTATATCCGAGAAAAACAAAATAAAAAACTCCCCCCCCCTCCCCTCCCAAAAAAAAAAAAAAAAAATATCTACGAACGTCACTCTAGCTAGCTCGCAAACAATTTTTTTTTTTTTTTTTTTTTTTGTACGCGTTTTTGTTCGCGACCCGGAAGTTTATGTCGCATTGCTGGGATTCGGGTAGCATTTTGCCACTGCTGGAAATCTTTTGCTGCTGCTTTTTATCCGTACTTTTATGCTTGTAAGCGCATATTTTGCTTCGCGAAGCCCCGCCAAGAACTTGATAGGGGTTCGTGGGTTTGCCGTTGCCATGCCAAATCAGAGTAGCGCAAAATGCGTCCCTTGAAATGCTTCATTTCCGTGTTCCGCGCAGTTTTACTTACCCTAACAAATCGGGAGGAAGTTTTGACGCTACCTCCCGAGTGCGCAGCTTGGCCCGTGTTATTCATATTAGGTAACGGTAGACCTTATTTTCCGCCTAAGGTGAGACTCTGCTGTTGCAGAAAACAGTTTTTTTTATTTCTTTTTCCTTTAGGTTAGCTTGTTTCTGTACGAATTTTATTGGCATGTTAGAGACGGTTGCCATGGTCTGGAGACTATTGTTATTGGCAGTGTCTACTCTACCGGCAGTCCCATCCCATTGGCTGCCTGACGTCACGTGAAACCTGCCACGAGGATAATTTTCCGAAATTCAACCGGCATTCGACCCCCATTGGCTGTCTGAAATCATGTGACAACTGCCGTAGAATACTGACTTTCTTATTCTTCCAGTATTTCGTGGAAACACGTTTCATGACATTTCACTAAAAGGTCATTCGCCGCTTTGCGGCGAACGACATTTTAGCGAAGAGTGACATTTTAACGAGGGTGCGTTAACCCACCCTCCTGTGCTGCGAGGTGGCTCATTTCAAAAATGTTAACCCACCTGGGCCCACCCGTACACGCCACTTCGAGGCGACAGTCTGAGGCGGTTGTTAGAGAAAGAAGCTAACCTAAGCTGGGGGTGGCGGGTCGACGGGCCAATGGGACACATTATGCAGCCAATGGGATGGGACTTCCAATAGAATTTTGGGAAACCTATGCTGTCGGCAGAATAGACACTGCCATTATTATTTCTGTTATGCGCACAGATACTGCACTTTGATTTGCTTTTGTTTCTCGAGTATGGTGCGCTGTTTCAATTTACATTCAAGTCCAGACATATACTCGTTTTCACCCGAAGAAAAATACAAGGTTTGCGCATTGTTTATACGCCACTTCAAGTAGGTCTTACAAGATTTGGTTGTCCGAGTAAGAAAAAATGTATTTGGCATTTGAAACTTGTACTTCTCGATGAGATAATGCTAAGCTTAACAAAAATTCACCCACATATAGCTTAATTCTCCACATAGAGGAGTAAATCTGTAAACCTCGACAAGAAGCCGGACCTTTTTTCTTTTACTGCGGTTTTTGAGGTGAGTGTGGTATAGTTTCTCGGGTCATAGGTTAGACTGTTGGATGTCAGTTGGTGTGATTAATTGTATCATTTGGTGAGTAATCTGAATAATAGGAATCACAATTTGATTTAAAGATTTATTTTGAGTAGATGCAACCGAGATGCAGAAATCCGCTTTTAATATTTAAAAAAAAATTATGCAAACAGTAAGGTGGAGGAAGGAGAAAGCAATTATAATAATGGTACTTTCTGAAGCGAGGAACAAGCTTGCAGCCTTTTCTTTGGCACCTTTGAGCGTGGAACAAAACAATACACTTACATAAAAACGGCAAACATTTAACCAAAAACTGTGTTATATCTGGATTACAAACATAGTAAATAATGAAGACAGGCAACACTGCAGTCATTTCACCGTTCGAAGGAAATGATATAAAAAATATGTATAACATAAAAAATGGCAAGCAAGATACTGGACCATAGATCCAAAGTTCCAACAATAAAAAAAGTATGATTCACTGTGCCAAAAGCTTTCGACAAATCAAATCTGTGATTGCATCAAGGTCCTTGTTGACCTCTGATGCAGCACTCCTTCTCGACACAAACCGAGTTGAGGACGAATGCTCGCTGAGCCCTTGCATCTAATACACGCCCAGGGTGTGTGCCAAAACAATAGTGGACTCCTGCCACTACTAGATGTGCACACCTTTGAAACTATTTCAGGGTTGCTGATGAGCTGTAGCTGGCTGCAATACAAATAGCATACTGCAATGTTCACTCACCTCGTCGCTTTTATAATCAATCAATCCGTGTTTTCTTGTGCCACAAACAGCTGGTAAGGCCTTAGGAGGGTTTCACTTGCACTAAGTGAAAGACAATCGGATCAGAAATATTTTCACATTACAAAGTGAGTTTCAGTATTACACTTTCTTTTAAACATGCGAGGATAGTGAAAAGGTCCACGTCAGGGTTAAAACACTTGTCATACATGGTCTGCATCCTAGTCAATGGAGGAATAGATTGTAAGTGAGAAGGGTAAAAAGAAACTGTAGACCGATTTTGTCGCTGGGGGACATGAAGTGGGATTATGCTCAATAACGGGGGAATCAATAGCAGCGTTGAGCAGTTTATATAAAAAGAAAAAAACATGTCGCGAACTCGTCTTCTATTTGAAAGAGGCGTAAGACCCTGTGTATCCAAAAGATGCTCACAATCATAAAGGAGCTCTCCATCCATTGTGACGATCATAGATAATTCTTACAAATTGTTGCGATACAGCCTCTAACCTTAGGTTTGATTCCCAGGGAATTCCACACAGGAGAAGAAAAGTTCAACCTTGATAAAACTAACGACGAAATAGGTGCAGTATGCAGGTGGAACTGCGGAAATTGCAGGTAATTCGTGCAATTATGCCTAGGATGCGTAATTGCACGCATTGTGGTACTTCGGAATTTATCACGTAAGGATATGATATGCATCCAAAGTAGGACATTATATTGAAGTGATCAGTAAGGTAGCTGCCAAACCAGTCGCAAAGATTCGAAGAAAGAAAGAAACTTATTAAACAGCTTCTTCAACGATAGATTGTGATCTGTGACGTCAAACGCCTTGGAACAGTCAAAATAAATAACATTAACCTGGCCACTGGACCCAACTATATATGCTTTGCAAACTCTAAAAAGGTTACGAGGTTAGTCTCAACAGAACGTCCCCGACAAAAACCATGCTGATTTGAACTGAGCATTGGTCTAAAATGAACTCAGATGCTTAAAAAAAAAACTTTCTCAAAAACCTTGGAAGAAGCAGGGAGCAAAGCAATTGGTCTGTAATTATCGACACATGAAAAGCTTCCAGATTTGTGCACTGGCACAACCACAGCATTTTTCTGCGCTGATAGAAATCTACTTATCATTGATGACACAGTAAAAATGTACTGCAATACAGGAGCCATGATAACAATACCCTTTAACAATGAAGGCGGCGATCTCATCTTCCCAACATGACTTTTTCGGGGCAAGTTCTTTTACGGCCAAAACCAGATCATCAATTGTTAATGCAGGAATTGACATAAGAAGATTATCAGGAGAAGGGGTCGTGTTGTAACCTTTGTTCTTGTCATGGAGAACACTGGATCCCACCGCTGCCACCATGTCGTGGTTGAGACAGGTTAACAATGACAACAACTGGTTCCCTTGCATACTGCATGTGCTCCTGTTGGCTGGCGGCGTCGATTACATGACGGACATTATTTGCTAACTTGTTTTTGCGTTTTTTTGCTGGTGCTAGCAGCATGAGGCTCTGCGCTCTGCAGTGGACTCTGGTGTTGTGCACTACAATTCTAAATCACAAAAGAAAAAATTAAAAAAGAAAACAGGGTGACAAGTCTGTAGCAATGTAGCAAGGATGTATTTTACGCCGGCTTGACACTTTTTCTTGGCTCTTTTTCTACATTTTGACATCGCGAAGCAAACACAATTTTGAAATTTTTTTGTCTAAACCAACATGCACGCCTTGCAAGATGATTGAGGATTCATTTTCACCACCTGGGCATGCTCTGGCGAGCAGCTGAAATGTTGTTGCTTCTTGAAAACGCAATTGCTGCAATTTCAGTCCTCGGTGTTCACACGCAGCAACCGCTGAAATAGCGGCATGCTACTTTTTGCTATAATCACTGTCAAAAATCCATTTCTTTCATCTTTATAGACCCAAGCTTTTGGAGTAATAACATGCGACTATACCTACCATAAAATATTGAGCATCTGCCCATTCCATACTAAGTGCCCACCCCAAAAGTTTGTAACATCTAAAAAAATATGCACAGTAGGTATATATGTAAAATTGATGACGTAACAAGCACTCATTTCCCTGTTTTCGCGATTATCTTCATATGTTGAGTGGGCGCTTGCTCGGTGTTCTACGGTATGTCTTTTGCTGATGCTCATAAAACCATAAATCACAAAACCAGAAAAAAAAAAAATAATCAAACCTTGTTGTCAATGAACATCTTGACCCTGCAGGAAATCGTTTGAAAATATAGAAGCCAATTATGTAGTCCCTTCGAAGGACCAACGAAACATTGCAAGAGCCTCAATCTCAAATCTAGGCTAGCGAGAGAATAAAGCTTTGTGATCCT